CCTGAAGGTGCTGACTCTCACCGGGATACAGTTCCTGAGGGGGCTGACTCTCACTGGGGGACAGGTCCTGAAGGTCTGGCAGCATCTGTGAAGAAAAATCAGAGTTAATGTTTCAGGTCTGACCCGAAACGTTAATTCTGATTTTTCTTTACAGATGCTGCCAGAGCTGCTGAGCTTTTCCAAGAACTTCTGATTTTGTTCCTGATTTACAGCATCCAAAGTTCTTTTCGTTTTCACTTCCTGAAGGTGCTGGCTATGACTTGGATACACTTCCTGAAGTTGCTGACTATTTTTTACTGATTTCCTTTCTTAAAGGTAAGTTGCAAACCTGTTGAATTTTAACAATGTTCTAACAGCTTCACTCTCACTGTTACTTATACTGTTTTACTGACAGATTTTTAAAATTGAATACAAGTTCTGAGGCACTCACAGTTTGATCTGAACTTACATACGGCATATATCTTTATACACATATAGTAGATGAAATATATATTTGTACATTAGTATTCACATACATTATATAGATTTCCATGTGAAAATTGGCATTGTCACCAAGGATCATTTGCCCTCTCTCATGAGAGAGATGGTTGGTGGTGAGTTCATCCTGACTGTTACCATGGCTCAGGTGAGATACAGGATTGAAAAGGCCAAAGCCTGTCTGGGCATTCAACCTGTAGTGTTGGTACTACTCTCCATTGCGAACCAGCCACTCAACTGACTGAGCCATACCAAACGTACACTCAGACACTTCACAGCTACTATCACTGAAAAGCTCAACAGACATAGAACATAGAACATTACAGCGCAGTACAGGCCCTTCGGCCCTCGATGTTGCGCCGACCTGTGAAACCAATCTGAAGCCCATCTAACCTAAACTATTCCATTATCATCCATATGTTTATCCAAAGAGTGTGATCTCTCATCTTAACCCAAGAGAAAATATCATCACAAGAAATAATTAATTTTACCTGAAAATCATGTCTGTCACAATAAATTGAGAGATTTGGCATGGCCATTAATTCCACCCAGTGTATTGTTATATTTCCAGTCTAAGGTGAATACAATTCCACACATTACAGAGTAACAGGAATTGTCAATTACCATATTGAGTAATTACTCTGTCAATTACACATGGCATACAGAGGAACACAGTCTGGATAATGGGCCTAGGATCCAAATCACTGATGGCAACCGAGGCCAAGGTCAAATCTGGAAAGTGGTTGTGGCCTGTGTTCTTGTGGCTGAACTCAAAGTATCTTCTTGTTCCAAATGGAGAGACTGCGATCTCCCAGAATGAATTAGTTTTATTATTACACTGCATTCTTTCAGAAATGTTCAGCTGCGCAGTTGTGACAATTGACAGCAGTTTTTCATTATGTACAGGAAAGGGGTTTTGTTCCGTTCGTTTGGTGCTGTATGTGCTGACTGTGCAATTAGCCACGCAGACTGAGCACATTCCAGACAGTTCACTTACAAAGCTATTCCGGCTATTTCGAAGGTGGATCGTGACTGTTTCATATCCTGCTGGGCAGCCCTTGCTCTGCTTTCGAGAGTGTGCCCCTAGATTCACAGAGAATATGAAGCAGCAGCAGTTAAAACACTTTTTATTCAATCCATGCCTTTGAATTTTGCCAGTAAATCAGTTTGGGCCTCACTTTTATGTTTGGATTCAAAACTTAATCATGCGGCAGGATTCTCAAGACGCTGTTTTGGAATTTTGGCATTGGTTCTGGCTCAGATGTTTCTGAATAAACAACCTTAACAAGTTAACTCTGTCATTGTCACATCAATGTGCTGTCTCTGACTTTTTTTTTTACCACTCCCACTCTCACTTTACAGCTTTTCCCATCTTATTTCTGAGCACCATTCTGTGAGCTCCTCCCTCTCTGATGCCTTCGCTGTGTTGGAGGGAAAGGAAAAAACATGTTTATTCGGCATCTTTCATGATCTCAGGACATCCCAGAGCGTTTGACAAGGTTCCACACAAGGGTTTAGTGAGGAAAATTAAAGTTCATGGTCTCAGAGAGGTGATGTATTGATGTGGATAAAGAATTGGTTGGCAGACAGAAAACAGAGAGTTGGAATAAACAGGTCCTTTCTAGAGTGATAGGCTGTGATGAGTGGATTCAGTGCTGGGACCCCAGCTGTTCACAATATACATTAATGATTTGCACAAAAGAATTGAAGGGAATATCTCCAAATTTACAAATGACACTAAGCTGGGTGGCAGTGTGAGCTGTGAGGAGGATGCTAAGAGGCTGCAGTGACTTAGACAGACTGGCTGAGTGGGCAAATACTTGGCAAATGCAATATAATGTGGATAAATGTGAGGTTATCCACTTTGGTAACAAAAGCAGGAGGGTAGATTGTTATCTGAATGGTGGCAGTTTAGGAAAAGGTGAGATGCAGCGAGACCTGGGTGTCATGGTGGAACAGTCGCTGAACGTTGGCATGCAGATGCAGCAGCATTGAGGAAAGCTAATGGTATGCTGGTCTTCATAGTGAGAGGATTTGAGTATCGGCGTAGGGATGTCTTGCTGCAGCTACACAGGGCTTTGGTGAGGCTACACCTTGAGTATTGTGTGTAGTTTTGGTCTCCTAGTCTGAGAAAAGACATTCTTGTTATTGAGGGAGTCCAGCGAAGGTTCGCCAGACTGATTCCCAGGATGGCAGGATTGACATATGAAGAAAGACCTGATCAACTGGACTTGGGCTCAATGGAATTTTGAAGAATGGGGTGGGTGATCTCCTAGAAACATATAAAATACTGATGGGACTGGACAGTCTAGCTGCGGGAAGAATGCTCCCAATGTTGGGGAAGTCCGGAACATGGGGTCACAGTCTAAGAATAAAGGTTAAGCCATTCAGGACTGTGATGAGGAAGAATTTCTTGACGCAGAGTTGTGAACCTGTGGAATTGTCTCCCATGGGAAGCTATTGGAGCCAGTTCATTAGATATATTCAAGAAGGAGCTTGTTGTTGCCCTTGTGGCTAAAGGGATCAAGGGGTATGGAGAGAGAATGGGAATGGGATACTGAGATTACATAATTGTACTGAATGGTGGTGCAGGCTCAAAGAGCCAAATAGCCTACTCCGCCTATTTTCTATGTTTCTGGCCCATTGAAGTGTAGCCATTGTTGTAAATCTACAAAATACTGCAACCAATTTGCACACAGCAAGGCCCCATCTACAGTGTAATAAAAATAAGACAATCTGTTTTTGTCATGTTTATTGAGGAATGAGTAGTAAACAGGGCCCTGGAGAGAATACTCCTGCTCTTTAGAATAACACCAGTTACATCCATCTGAAAGGGAAAATGGAGATCATCATGGTGGGATATTGATATAAAAATTGCTTTGACTGGAACTGTATTCTGTTCTCTTTGAATATATATGACAACAGTTTAGTTGGTGGAGAGTCATTCAAATTGAGTTCAAACATGTCTGATAACCACCTCTGCAAAACAAACTCTGTCTCATTCCCATAATGATGTAAAATACACTACGATAGGCTCTACAAGTGATGAATGGGAGGTTGGGTTGGTGATGTCCATGCAAGGGTAAATGGCTGAGCTGGGTGAATTAATAGGTGGATAACAGAATGGGTACCTGTAGGATTTAGCTGATAGACAAGATGATCAATGTGTGAGAAATGAGTAAGTGAGTGACATACAAGTGAGCAAAGGGAAATAGATAGATAATGATTTGAAGGTTAGAGAGTTGATTATGGGGCTGGGTGGATGAATCGGGAAGTGGATGAACGCACATGTGAGTAGATAGGGTAGTGGGTGGATAAGTGGGTAGATTACTCAGTTGGGTGAGGAGTTGGGAAAATGCTTAGGAGCTGGGTGAGTATATAAGACCATTTCTTGTTTAAACTTCACTCATTTACATATATTTCTTCAATAAAAATAATTGTGGTTTCTAATGAGTGCCATTGACCAAAGTTTGCTGACAACACCACTGTTGTAGGGCACATATCAAACAATGACAAGACAGAATACAGGAAAGAGGTTGAGTGTACAGCGACATAGTGTAAAGACAATAATCTCTCCATCAATGCCAGCAAAACAAAGGAACTAGTCATTGACTTCAGGAAGCAAAGTGTAGGATACATCCCTGTCTACATCAATGGTTCTGAGGTGGAGATGGTCGAGACCAGCAATGTCCTAGGAGTGATGATCACCAACAATCTGCCCTGGTCCACCCATGTCAACGCACTGATCAAGAAAGCACAACAATGTTGCCACTACCTTGGGAGGCAAAGGAAATTCAGCAAGTCCACAAGGACTTTTACCAATATTTATAGATGCACCATAGAAAGCATTCTATCTGGATGCATCACAGCTTGGTTTGGCAACTGCTCTTCCTAAGACCGCAAGAAACTACAGAGTTGTGAACACAGCCCAGCCCATTACACAAACCAGCCTTCCATCCATTGATTCCATCTAAACTTGCTGCTGCCTTGGGAAAGCAACCAACATAATCAAATACCGCTCCCACCCTGGTTATACGCTCTTCCACCCTCTTCCATTGAGCAGAAGATATAAATGTTTGTATATACGTACAAATAGATTCAAGAGCAGCTTCTTCCCTGCTGTTATTGGACTTCTGAATGGACCTCTCATACTTTTAATTTAATGTTGATCTCACTCTCTGTGTACCTTCTCTGCAGCTGTAACATTGTATGCCTCGCTCTGTTCTATTGCCCTAATGCTGTTTATATGGTATGATCTGTCTGTATTGCACAGAAAGCTAAATTTTTCATTGTACCTAGATATATATGACAATAATTAAGCAAATTAAATCCATTTTAATGTGCAAAGTATAATTTGGGGGTTTGAGCTGTGGGACCAAACAATTCTCATGGTCAGTATCTGCAGAGACTGTATACTATTACACATTGTCTCAGACAGGTACAAGGTAATGAACTGACTGACAAGTTGCTGAGCCTACAAATCAATAACAGGCATCATTGCAACAAAGAAGGAAGAATTCATACAGAACGCAGAGCTTTGCAACATCCTCTCAGGAAGCTGTGTTCAGTAAATCCAGCACAAACTGCAGTATGATTTCTGCAGCCAATATCTGGCACCCTTCCAACATTTAATAAAAGACAAAATAAAATTCCAGGTAAGTACATCTCAGTTATAATTAGTATTTCAACTGAATGAAGAGACATTTATTTATTTAGGATTCCATTCCATTAAATGGTTGAACAAGAACTTTATCAAATAAATGAGAAGGACAACTCATGAACCCAACTGCAGTTTGTGTCTATGAATATGTAAAAATACGCGTGCAATTCTTTGTTTTTCTGGGCTGTCAATCTGTATGTGGATCTCTCAAGTGGGGGAGTGTGTGAATCTCATCTTTTTAACATGAGTCACTTCCTTGTGCGTGTAGCTTTATGTTTCTCTGTGACTCTCTCTGAAATCTGCCTCTTTCCATTGTCAGTGAATATGTTGCAGTGTTGGCATTCTGACGACACAAAGATAGGGAGGAAAGTGGGTTGTGAAGAGGACATAAGGAGCCTACAAAGGGATACAGATAGGTTATGTGAGTGGGCAAAGACCTGGCCAAATGGAGTGCAATGTGGGAAAGTGCAAAAATTATCCATTTTGACAGGAAGAACAAAGAAGAAGCATGTTTTCCAAAAGGTGAGAAGTTACAGAGCTCTGAGATGCAGAGGGATCTGAGTGAACAAGGTGTAGAGCTGGATGAACACAGCAGGCCAGGCAGCATCAGAGGAACAGGGAAGTTGACGTTTCGGGTCTGGACCCTACTATCTCTGAGGGATCTGAGTGTCCTTGTGCATGAATTACAGAAAGTTAGTATGCAGGTATAGCAAGTAGTCAGGGAAGTTAATGGAGTGTTACAGTTTATTGTGAGAGAAATTGAATACAAGAGTGGGGAGGTTATGTTTCAGATACAGGGCATTGGTGAGACAGCATCTCCAGTACTGTGTACAATATTGGTCACTGTACTTACAGAAGGAGGTTAATGTGTTGGAAAGAGTTCAGAGAAGGTTAACTAGACTAATACCTGGAATGTGATAGTTGCCTTATGAGGAAAGGCTGGACAGGCTAGGCCTGTAACCTCTGGATTTTAGAAAAGTCAGCGATGACTTAATTGAAACATAAGACCCTGAGGGGACTTGACTGCCTGGATACGGAAAAGATGTTTCCCCTTGTGAGAGAATCTAGAACTTGAGATCATAGTTAAAAACAAGAGGTCATCTTTTCAAGACGACACGAGGAAATTATTTTTCTCTTAGAGAATTCTGAGTCTTTGGAATTCCCTTTCTCAAAAGGTACTGGGTGCAGAATCTTTAAACATTTTTAAGGCAGTGGTAAATAGATTCTTGATGACCATGGGATTGAAAGATAATTGGGACAATGCGGTAATGCAGAGTTGAGGTTAAAATCAAATCAGCCATGATCTTGTTGAATGGCGAGTAGGCTCGAAGGGCTGAGGGCCGACTCCTGTTTCGTACCTTTGTATATGAAGCCCTTTGTGCTGCCTATCTGCCCCTCTCCATCTGTGTGGGTCAGCCATTAT